TTTCCTAGAGAGTTGTGTGAGCCTGGGAGAAGTGTTTGCCTCGCCCCCGGACACTGTGCCCCTGCCAGTGTGCCGGCTGCCATGCCTCCAGTCTCCAGTGCGGCCCTGCAGAGCGGGCACCTCATGAACGTTCAGCAAAGAGATGAGGACCCAGGGAGGGGGACAGTGTGGCTGCCTAGGCCTCCCTGGGTGCATGGGGAGGTCACCTACCACGGGGAGGGCTGAGCCAAGGTCCTCATAGCCCAGGTTGGGGTGCCATTCCGGCACATTGAGGGCAGCACACGCTGGGTCACACAGTTTGCCAAGTGTGTGCTCAAGGATTCGTGTCCTTCACACGACCAGGGGCGCACTGGCCCCAGGAAGACCCTCCCACATCCAGGTGGTCAAGAGGTAAGCCACTCCATCGATACACCCGGTCACACTTCACACAGCTCGAGGTCACATCCTCCTCCATCCTCATAGACAGCAAATCTTCACCTTCTACAACTGAATATAAGTTTTGGAGACATTCAAACCCAGGTGCTTTCAGCCCCCGCCCCCCAACAGGCTGCCGTAATATCTCCCTGGCTGCAGACCAGACACTCGCTTTGCCGCATGCCCACCCCACGGAGCTCAAAGCCCTTGCCCATTCTGGGGTTCAAACCCTTGCAATGGGGTTCCACAGGGACCACGCTGTCCCCCAAACACTTCCGTAAAAATGTCTTTAGTAATTTGGGAGGAGTGGGAGAAAGAGAGAGAGAGAGAGAGAGAGAGAGAGAGAGAGAGAGAGAGAGAGAGAGAGAGATATTTGTTGATCCACCCGTTCATGCATTCATTGGCTGCTCCTTGTATGTGCCCTGATTGGAGACTGACCCCGCAACCTTGGTGTGTTGGGACAATGCTCCAATCCAGCGGTTGCCAACAGGTGATCCATGAGTTCTGAAAGGTTGGTGACCACTGCATCTAACCAACTGAGCTACCCCACCAGGGCCCAAACATATGATGCGGAGTTTTAAAAATGCCCCTTCCCATGCTGGCTGGCATGGCTCAATGGTTGAGTGTCGACCTATGAAACAGGAAGTCACGGTTTGATTCCCAGTCAGGGTACATGCCTGGGTTGTGGGCTTGATCCCTAGTGTAGGACATGCAGGAGTCAGCTGATCAATGATTCTCTTGATCATTGATGTTCCTATATCTCTCTCCCTTTCCCTTCTTCTCTGAAATCAATAAATAGATTTTATTATATATTTTTCAAACACCCCTTCCCACTGACCTGGAAACCACTCCTGGGCAGCAATGCTAAGGAAGTGATCAGAGGCACCTGATTTAGCTCCATAGTGGAAAAGTACAAACATGCTAAGCATACCCCGCGGTATAAATAACTGAGCGACACAGCCACAGCGGAGCAGCATGCAGTCATCAGACTACCATTTGTGCAGAATCGTAATGAGCTGGGAGAGTTCTCGCAGGCGAAAATACAGTGGGAAAAACAGAAACAGCCACAGCCCAGCTCCCTCCTTCTCTTTACCTTTTCCCTCCTGTGGTTGGATAAAAATATATCAACCATTTACAACAGTTGCCTGGGAGCCCAATTATGAATCTTTTGTGCAAATTCTTTATGTTTTTTTTTTCTCTGTATTTTCCAGAATTTATCACATGAGCTTGTATTACTTCATGATGAGGTCCCACCAGGGCCCAGAGACCCCGAACACCCCAGCACACTGTGCCTGCCTTCCAAGCAGCCCGCGGAACCTGAGCCAGGTGAATGCACACCGGAGGGCCACGCCTGTGCGTTCCTGTGGCTGTGCCACAGACCACAACCACCCAATGGCTGCAGGCAACACACACTTATCCCGTATGCTGGAGGGCAGAAGTCAGTCCGACATGTTTCCTCCAGAGAGAGTCTGCTTCCTGGCCTTTTGCAGCTTCTAGAAGCCGTCTGCATTCCTTGATGTGTGGCCCCTCCTCCGTCTCCCAGCCAGCCTGGTGGATCTCTGACCCCGCTCCTCTCTGAGCCACCCCTCATTCCGTCCCATTACCTCTGTGGCCTTAGGCCCGGGTCGATCTCTTCATCCTGAGATCCGTGATTGGTCGCACCTGCGAAGTCCCTTTTGCTACCTGAGGTGGCACCTCCATGGGGAATAGGACAAGAGCACTTTGGGGCGGCCGTTCAGCTAGCACCCCGCCTGAGCGGCAGGAAACGCAGGCCCAGCTGAAGGAGGAACTCACGGCCTCTGCCCAGGAGACACAGGGAGCGCCCACTGGAGGCCTGCAATGTGTGACTCCTGTCTCAGGGGGCAACGCGGCGTCTCCCGGCAGAGACGTGGCATTAACACGTGAACGGAAATAAAATAACACAGTAAACAGACCAGGTAGCAAAATGACCAAAGATGAGAAGATGCATGAGATGAAGACCGATCCCTCCAGACTGTGGAGCAACAGCAATGGGGAGGCGCCCCAGCAGGAGCCCACCCTTCCAGACAGACCCCCTCTGGGGTGACTGGGAGTGGGCCAGGTGCATGGGGTGGGGTCGCCCTGCCTGCTGCACTGCCCACTGGGTCTGTGGCTCCCAGCTTGCCAAGCACTCAACCAAGATTATACAAAATCCTTCTGGTCTGAGCTCGGATCCCTCCTGAAGAAGAGGGAGCTTCTGGCCAAAAATACACGGGAGGGCTGGCCCAGGGCAAATGGGGTTGACAGTCCCCAGGCCTCAGCCCCAGAAAGCTTCCAGGTGCTGCCAGGTCACCCAACCCCACCTGGTCATGTCCTGTTACTGCACCTGTTCCTCAGCCTCTGCCCCACATGGTCCTCGTGAGGGGCAGGGAGGGCTCCCTGTCCGCGTGGTAGCCCCCGTGGGAAGTTGGGGTGAAGCTCTGTCCTGGTGCTCTATGCATTGAAGAGAACAGGAGAGTGCACGCTCATATCTTAGAGTTCTGTGGCATGTCCTGCAAAAACAGCTGAACATTACTGAGCACTTACTATAGGACAATTTTTTTTACACATATTAACTGATAGTCTTCTCAATAACCATAGGAGATAGATGTTGTTATTTTCTGTTCCTCGGGTGGGGGATACCTCGACAGATAGAGGTTTGGTAGCTTTCCTAATATCTTCTAACGCAGCCTTTTTCAACCGCTGTTCCGCGGCACACTAGTGTGCCGCGAGATGTTGCCTGGTGTGCCGTAGGTGCAGACAAGACAAGAATTTTATAATTTTTCACTATTTTGTTTACTTAATATTTCATAATAAAGTAATTATAAAATACTTTCTTTGTGTTTATTTGATTCCTATTCAAGAGAATTACTTTATATATAGTCAATATAGGCACAGAGTTAAATTTTTTAACATTTTCTAATGGTGGTGTGCCTCGTGATTTTTTTCATGAAACAAGTGTGCCTTTGCCCAAAAAAGGTTGAAAAACAGTGTTCTAACGTCCGTAACAGGTTTGGGGATCAATGTTATGTAGGCCTTACGAAATAAGCTGGGAAAGGCTCATCGTTTTTGATTCTTTGGACTAAATATCACCAAATATCAATTGGTGATATTTCTTCAACTGTTTAAAAGAATTTGTCAATGAAAACACCTGAACCTAGAATTTTCTTTGTAAGAAAATTTTAAATTATGGATAAATTTAATTGGTAGGGGACTATCCAAGCTTTCTGTTTCTTCTAGTATCAGTTTGATAAATTGCATTTCATTTCAATTTCAAATTTACTGTCCAACTTGCTCATACTATCCTTTTGCTGTGTATATTATGTTTGTAATACCTGTGGTGATGTCCTCTTTTTCATTCCTGATATTAGAATTAGTGTGTGTATTGTGGGGAGGGTTCTTATCCAATATTTCCAGGGGTTCATCATTTCTATTGATCTCTTCAAATAACAATTTTTAGCTTTGTTATATTTTCTCTAATTTTTGCTATTATTAATTTCTGACCTTATTTTGGGTTGAATTTGTTATTTTTTCCCTAGCTTCTTGATTTGGAACTTAAAGCATTAATTTTTAGTCTTCTTTCTAAAGCTATACATTTTCCTTTAAGCATTACTTTACCTGCATCCCCATTTCACTATTGTTCACTTCAAAATGTTTTGCAACTTCCCTTGTGATTTACAATTTGACCCATTGATTATTTACAAGTGTAATGTTTAATTTACAAGCAGTTGGAGGCTTTCAAGTAGTTTTACTAGTATTGAGTTTTAAATTAATTCTGAGAGAACACAATTGTATGATTTCAGTCTTTTTTGAAATTCGTTGCAACTTTATAGCCTAGGATTTGTTTTATTTTGGTTAATATTCTGTATGCACAGGGAAAGAACATGTATTCTATTGGCTGCATAGGTGTAATTTGGGGCAAGTTGGTCAATCCTGTTCTTTGAACTGGGCTGTGTTGGTTCAAGGATAGAGAAACAAATAGTGGGATGGAAGAGTCCAGAAGAGATCTTCACATATCCGTCACTTTATTGTGGGGACTCTTTCCCAATGCAGTGGGGGACATGGTCTTTTCAATAAGCGATGCTGGGTTAACTGGATACACACTGGAAAATACATGAGCTCTCACCCCTTTCCACACCATTCACAAGAATTAGTGTGGCCCATCACTATGTGAACGTCATAACAATTACACTTCAAAAAGAAAACATACACTATCACTATGAAAAGGCATTAGCCATAAGAGAAAAGACTGATACATTGGACTTCATTGAGACTAACTCCTGTTCGTTGTAATCAATAGCTACCACAGAATAGTACAAAGTATCTGCAGTCTCTCCAAAATAATGAAATTCCCGGGCCCATCTCTAACACAAGCCCGTGTGTCGGACCAGGGACGCGTATCCAGAATATGTAAAGATCTCTAGGAATCAATAAGTAAACGGAGCCGGGTGTGAACGCAGGTGGCCGAGGCCCCAGCGAGGACCTGATCCCTGGGCCATGCGGGGACAACTCACTCAGGCCTCCTTAAGCGGGGAGGCTCCCACGCGGCTCCGCCCCGGGGGCTGCCTTTGCCTTAGAAGGCGAAGCCCCAAGCCTCGCCTTTCGCTGGCGGAGAGACGCGCGGTGCGCCCCGCGCCCCCCTCGCCCCCTAAGCCGCCGCCGCCGGAGCCCGAGGGGCGCGCGAGGCCCCGCGCACTCCGCGCCACAGGCGGGCTCAGGGCGGGCGCCGGGGCGGGCGCGCCCCCGAGGTTTGAATGTTAGGATCGGGATCGCCGGCGACGGCGGCGAGCAGATCCTGAAGCCAGAGCTCCTCCTGGGCCCCCGCGCCCGCGCCATGAGGCGGGAGAGGTGAGCGGGGCGCGCGGCGGCCCTCCCCGGGCACACGCGCCGTGGGAACGGCCGGCCGGGGGGCAAACCCGAGGGCGGCGCGGCGCGGGGGGCGCGGGGGTTGTGGCCGGGCCGGGCCGGGGTCCTGGCTCGCTCGGAGCAGGCTGGGCTGTGCCTCCCGTCTGCGCCTCCGCCCACCGTGCACACATCTCTGAGCGCGAGCACGGCGACCCCAGAGCAAATCGCCATTTCCCCTCGGCTTTTTTTGTGTGTTTTTTTAATCCCCGGCAGCCGCGGGGGGTCTTTGTTATTTAATCCGGAATCTGAAAGACTGTGAGTCCGTGTTTTTAAAGACTTGGGGCCGAGAAACGCAGGGTCACACCCTGCTGGCCGCAGCCCTTCCCTGGGGCTGTACCCGGCGGGTCTTCCCGTGCGCCCCGGCCTGTGCGCGGACTGGATCGGGGTGCACACCGCGCCCCTCCCCGCCCTCCGTGCGCCGGCCTTCCCCTCCGCCAGCCGGGCCGGGCGGGCCGGGCTGAGCGCCGTCTGCCCGCAGGTGCGGCGCCCCCCTCCCGCATCTCCGCCATGGAGGTGCTGCGGCGCTCTTCGGTTTTTGCCGCCGAGATCATGGACGCCTTTGACCGCTCGCCCACCGACAAGGAGCTGGTGGCCCAAGCGAAGGCGCTGGGCCGGGAGTTCGTGCACGCCCGGCTCCTGCGCGCCGGCCTCTCCTGGAGCGCTCCCGAGCGCGCCGCGCTCGCCCCGGGCGGCCGCCTGGCGGAGGTGTGCGCGGTGCTGCTGCGCCTGGGTGAGTGCGGGCCCCGGCGGGAAGGGCCCCCAGACTGCCCCCTTATGAGCTGGTCCGCTGGGGTGGGCCCACTGCGCCTTAGGGTACAGCTGTCTCCACAGTGACCCGCCCACGGGGTGACCTGGCCGAACCCTCCACTCTGGCCTCGGTCTCCCTTTGGGGTTAGAGAGGGGCTGGACTGGGGTGGGGGTGGGGGTGAGGAGGGGGCGAGGCTCGGAATAGCCATGCATAGAGGCAGGCTACCAGGCGATGCTCCCCATCTCTCTCACAGTCCTGTGTTTACCCCTCTCAGGGGCTCCCTGCACACTACAGACCTCCCCCAACTAGTCTGCTCAGCCCAGATTTCATAGAGGATAGAAAGCTGTAGGAAGAATAATGTTTTGATGGCTGCATTTCCAATGACCCTTGTACTCAGCTGGGCACAAATATGCTTGGTCGGACCACATGCCGGTGTTTATTTTGGAAAATAGGTCCTTTTAGTTACTGGCTGAAATCCTGCCATCTGCTGCTCTTCTTGATTTAGAGGCCACTAAACCCTCCCCCCAACCCCCTCGCAGAACTGGGTGCCCAGGACAGCTAACACCACGGTGGGGCTGGCCCATATTTGTTTCTGGGATCACACCCAACCCAGTAACTGTCTCCACCTTCTCCAGGGTCTGTACCCGTCACCACGGGCACGGAGGTCCTGATCTCCAGCCATTCTCAGTTTTGGGAGTGGGCACCTGGAGAGCAGGAGGCAGCAAAGATGGGTGGGGAGATGCTGACACTCGTGTTTGCTTGTCCCTGCTTTGTGTGGCCCCTGGGAGCAGGGTTGTATGTGTATCTGGCCTCCCAGGAGCGTGTGTGAGAGACACAGATTCAATGGGGCCGTGTGCAGGGCTCCAGAATGGTGGTGCCCCACCTTGGCCGTGGGTGTGGAGAGCAAGTGGGTTTGGGGATCAGTCAGGGGTCTGGAGCGCCTGGACTCCCGTGAGGTCAGCTGCCCACTGCTGTTTCTTCTAGCTGGGCTGTGAGGACGACATGGGGGGGGGGCACCTTCTAGACTCTAGAGGACCCCTGGCACGGCTTGGAGAAGTTCTGTCTGTCCTGGCATGCTCTGCAACCCTGCCCTGGCCTTGTGCAGCTGCCCCTACCCTAGGCCCGGTGTCCTGTTGCTTAAGCTCTTCTGAAAAGCCCTGCGCTGCACTCTGCAGATCTGATGGGCTCATTTTTGCCCCTTCAGTCCTCTGTTCCACTCTGAGAGCCCCATCCTGTGGGCCTGGCCTCGGTAGTTGCACTGGCCCTCTCAGAAACTCGGCCTTCACGGCCCTTTCCCACTGTGCAGCGCGGCCACGTCCAGTCCCTGGGGCACAGCCCCTGCCCGATGGCTGAGGGGGCCTTGGAGGGAGGTGACTTGGGTCCCCCGAGCGAGCGTGTATGTCTCGTTCCCTGCATCCTGCCCTGGGCCTGAGGCTGCCTCCCTGCCCCCAGCCCCTCCTCAGCAAACGCTCGGCTCCGGGGTCAGCACACACAGGAAGAAGCTGGGTCACTTCCCATGGTCAGTCTCTCGGGATATTCTCCAGCAGCCCCCAAGGTCTCTGTGGGAAGAGCCCGGCCAGTCCTGGGAATTTCCATGCCCCCCCCCCCCCATCACCCCGCCTCAGTTCTGCTTGGTTCCAGATCTTAATTAATTAGATGGTGTGCAGCTGGCTCCAGGGATGACTCTGGCGTCCTTATCGGCCAGTGCTGTCCAGGCGGCATTTCCCTGTTTGCTTTGGCTGGAGAGGTGGGCTGAGAGACACTCAGTGCGAGTCTGGAATTCCCGGCCCGTCACTGCCAGGGGCAGCGCAGCGGCAGGCAGGGCTGGTGACAGGGCCTGTCCTCCGCAGGGTGGCCGCCCAGCACACACCCACTTGGCACAAGCACATCTGGAACTCGGGCAGTGCTGGAGGCCCCCGGTGATGGAAGGTTCCTCTGTGAGCGGTGCTGGGGCCCGAGTGAGAGGGGCCTCGGTGGCCTTGGCCAGGGCCGCCCACCTGTGTGGGTCGAAGTCCCTGCCCTTGTTGGGTCTGGCTGCTTGCCCTGCTGCCTGCCGCCCCGGGCAGGGCAGCTCGCTGTGGGCCATGAGTCACCCGTCAGGCACGGCCCATGCTCCTCCCGGGATTCCCACCCTACCAGCCCAGCCGGATTGGCCTTAGGTTGGGGGGCGGGGGAGAAGGGGGAGGGGGGGCAGTAGAGGGAGCTGGCTCATCAGAAGGGGTGGGCCACAGAGGCAGGTTCTGAGGGTGCCCACCCCACCTCTCTGGTCTTCCTCTCCCCAGGGGCTGAGTGGAGGGGGGGAGGGGTCAGATATAGGCCAGTCAGTGCAGGAGGGTTTCCAAGCCAGCTGTGGCTGTGGGGCTGAGGAGTGGGCTGGTCCCAGGCCCATGTGACCCGGGGCTGGGGTCAGGCAGGGGTGGAGCCCTCTGACCCACTCCTGTGACTGCAGGGGACGAGCTGGAGCTGATTCGGCCCAGCATCTACCGCAACGTGGCGCGCCAGCTGAACATCTCCCTGCACTCCGAGAGCATGGTGACTGACGCCTTCCTGGCTGTAGCGGCCCAGATCTTCGCTGCAGGTACGTCTGTGCACCCAGCCCCGGGAGCCAGCAATGCCAGTATTGGGGCCGGGGCTGGGGCTGGGGCCGGGCTGTGCTGCTCTCTTGGTGAAGATGGGGAGCCCGCCAGGCAGCTGGCACAGAACCTCTCATGGTTCTTGTTAGACATTAGCTGAGGCTGCAGTGACCTGAAGTCCTGACCGGGCTGGATGGGGCCAGGGAGGCCTGCACATGACCTGTGGGGCTTGGGTTTCATTCAGCCAGGCGGCCAGGGGAAGAGCAGGGCCTGAGCCCTAGGCCTCTCTCAGTTGTGGCAAGTGCGGCATCGAAACACGTGACACAGGACTGGCCCGGACGGGGGGCTGCCAGCGGCAGAATCCAGCCTCCAGGGCCACCAGTGGGTGGGTCAGTGCTGACCTCGCTGGGTGAAGACGGCATGAGGGGTGCCTGTGTGGGCTGGGGATGCATTCCTCCCGAATGTGCTCCCAGAGCTGACCTGGATCCTGGGGAGCCCGGGGGACACACACACACACACACACACACACACACTGTGACCTGTCAGGCGCCTTGTGGAGGGTGAGGTGGATGGGGCTGTGGAGAAGGCAGGAGGGCGAGGTGGGTGTCCTGGGCTGATGCCTGCCCTTGGCCCTTCCCAGACTCCCCCATCCCTGGCCGGATGCCGGCACGTGGGTGGCCGCCTGTGTCTGTCTCCAGGCTGTCAGGCAGCTGGTTTACGAGCCCAAGGCTGGCTTTAAAAGGAAGGCTCATCTGTGAGAAGGCAGCTCTGGCCTGCTAGTGGTTGGGACTGAGCAGGGAGGCGGGGGCCTGGTCCCTGTTGGTTGTGTGTGTGTGTGTGAGGGGCCAGAGCATCCTACCCTAGCCTGCCCAGCCTTGCCCAGAGCGGGGTCAGGCCTGCACGGGGCCCTCCTGCTTGTTGCTTGTGGGCTCCTTGTCACCTCTTGTCCATCCCAGCCCTCGGGGTCCTTGGGCCCTTTCACCACAGGGTGAGCCCAGTCATCAGGCAGTTGCTGGCCCTTGCCTTTTTTTTTTTTTTTTTTTTTTTTTTTTTAATATATTTTATTGATATTTTAACAGAGAGAAAGGGAGAGAGACAGAGAGCTAGAAACTTTGATGAGAGAGAAACATCGACCAGCTGCCTCCTGCACACCCCCTACCGGGGATGTGCCCGCAACCAAGGCACATGCCCTTGACCGGAATCGAACCCGGGACCCTTCAGTCCGCAGACCAACACTCTACCACTGAGCCAAACCGGCTTCGGCTGGCCCTTGCCCTTTCTGCCCTTGGCTTTGCCCATGCTGCTGCCAGGCCTTGCCCAGGCTGCCCCTCGGGCTGGGCTCCCCTCCTTTCTCCATGAGGCCTGGCTTCCTCTGGCCGGGGCTGGGCAGGGGCTGTGCCGGCGTGTGGGCAGCTCCAGGCTGTGGGGCAGACTTCCATGGTGGCCCCTGCGGTGGTCCAGCCCCGTCCTAGGGAGAGGCAACTTTGGGCTTCTCAATTCACTTCAGTGGAAAAACTAATGTTTCCCTCCCAGATTAAAAGTTGGCAAGGGTTTGCATTTTCCCCCTTATCACAAGAGCAGATTATTTTACCACAGAAGAATCAGAAAATGAGAACTCTTAGAAAGAATACTAAAAAGACAACCCAGTTTAAAAATGAACAAAGAATCTGAACAGCCGTTGTTCCAGGGAAGGTGTACAAATGGCCGGTAAGCCCACGGAAAGATCAGCCGTTGTCAGTCAGTAGGGGGCGCACACCACAACCACCCGAGACACCCTTGGGCACATGGGAGGGCTCAGGCCAGAGCATCCGGTGGCACAGGTACCGGTGAGGATCGGAAGGGCTGGAAGCCCCATGAGCTGCTGGCAGGATTGGGAAGAGGGCCGGTGCCTGGATGAGGGCCAGAGTCTGTAAGGCAGTTACCATGAGAGCCAGAGAAGTGAGAACATGTCCACACAGAAACTGGCGCACACACGTTCAGAGTAGCAAGACTCCTCAGAGCCAGGAAGGTGCAGTGACCCGAGGGCCCATCGCCCGAGTGGTGGACCGGGAGTGCGGTCCATCCAAGGGACAGGACGGGATGGGCTTGGCCACGAAAGGATGCCCCTCAGCCTGGGTGAGCCTGGACAGCATGGTGAGTGAAAGGCAGTTGCTGGCCCTTGTCCCCTTGACACGCTGGAACACACAGTGATTCCATAGGTGACGTGTCCACCACAGGCGAGTCCACAGGACAGGTGCCTGGGCCAGCGGGTGGGCGTGACTGCTTATGGGGGCAGGTTGCTTTTTGGGGCGATGAGAATGTTCTGGAATGGTTGCACATCTTTGTGAATGTACTAAATAAAACATGCAGGTTGCTTTTTGGGGCGAGGAGGATGAGTTCACGGTAGTGATATTACGTCTCCATAAATGGTAAGACACGAGGGAAACAGAATGTCCCTGGAACTCAGTGCCCTCTCACGGGGCAGCCAGCAACCTCTCTGCAGGCCGCACCGCAGAGCTGCTGTCACGTTCTCAGACTCCAGGCTGTGGTCCAGGCGGCGGGCTCCGTCCCCACGGCCACGTTGAGCCTTCACCTGCCCTCTCTGTGTCGAGCACCTGTGAGTGCTGAGCCTAGGGGTGCCCCAAAGCACAGCTGTGAGCGGAACAGGCCCAGGCCCGGTGCCCTGTGGCATCTCGTACGAGGGAGCGTAGTGTGAGGGCCTGAGTGGTGCGAGGAGGGGGGCCTGGTTAGAGTCCTGGGGGTGGGGAGCTGTGGCCTGAGAGGGACGAGCCAGCTCTGGCATCTCAGACTTGGGCCCGTTCTGACAGAGGGAAGGAACAGTGACGGGAGGTTTTTAAGCAGGGGAGTGACATGATTTGATTCATGGGGTTTTTATTGAGGTGAAATTCACATAACACAGCTAGCCATTTTACAGGGTACGATTCCGTGGCTTGTAGTGGGTTCACACTGTGCTCCACAGCCCAGGAGCTTTTCACCATCAGGAGGAACACGCATGCTCATTAGTGGTCCCTCTCCCCCCACTCCTGTTCCAGTAACTGTGGACCTGCTTCCTGGACATCGTGTAGATGGGCTCTTACAGGCGGCCTTGGTGTCACGGCCCTTGCTGAGTGGACGTTGGAGGTGTGTCCAGGCTGCAGTGAGTGTCCATGACTCACTCCTTGTGGCTGAGTCACACACCATTGTCTGGATGACCCTAGTGCATTTGTCATTTCCAGCTTTTCGTGATTGGGAATAAGGCTGCTGTGAACTTTGTGAATGAGTATCTCCTCAAGCTGATTGCTGATTCAATAGCTGTGCTGCTGTGGAGGTAGATGAAAGGCTTCATTTCTGCCCGCGTGTCCTCTCTCAGCCTGCAGGTGGCTGTGCGTCCGCTGACAGGCTGCAGCTGCCTGGGGCTCACGTTGCCATCTGAGCTCTGATCTCCTGGACTACAGTCTGCATCCCATTGCAATGCACCCTTGAGTGATTAGTGAGCATTTTTCATGTCTAATGGATTGTTTCTGGTTTTCCTTTTATGCATCAGCTGTTCCTGTTCTGTGCTCATTTCTTTTGAAAGGTTTCACTTTTTCCCCCCTCATCCTAATATATAAAAAGCCAGGGGCCATCATGACCTAAATGGCCGATGGACGAAAGCAGCAGGCTTGCGTGGGCAGGGACTTGTGGCAGCAGGGATGGGGGTGGAAGAGGCGAGCCCACCAAGGGGCGGCCTGTACTCCCCACATGGGTGTGGCTGCGGCTGTAAGCACTCCTGATGGCCTGCAGGCTCTGCTTGGCCGCCACTCCCCCCCCCCCAATGTGTTTTATACCACATGCTGTGGTATAAAACACATTGTGTAAGTTAACAGAAGCCCAGGCACCACCTCCATGCCACACCCTGCTTCCATCAGTCCCAATGGCCCTGAGGTGCCCTCCCTGAGCTGTTTCTGGAGAGGCCTGGGGAAGATCCCACCCTCGGAGCGCGCCTGGCTCAAGGGACACACACACACACACACACACACACACACAGGAGGGGGCACTGCAAGCATCATGGTGGGCAGCCCAGCTCCCTGTGAGGCAAGGGCCTGGGAGGACCCCAGCGACAGAGGTAGCAGTGTGCTGGTCATCTGTGGAGCCCTGTCAGCCGGCTGCCCTCGCTGCTGGCTGATCCCAGTGCGGCCTCCTGGCCCAGAAGATGCACAACTGCTGGGACAGCCACCGTGGCAGGCCAGGTTGATGTCCTCATGTATGAACATCCCCCAGAGCACTGTCGCCCACACATACCCACAACAGTCCTGGACCACGGCGCGCCCGTTCCCCAGCATGCCTGTGTCCCCCACACGACGTGCGCATGTCCCCTCCAGCATGCTCCTGTCCTCTGGAGCGTGTCTGGGTGCTCCCGGTGGGCGCCTGTGAGATGACAGTGAGAGGGCAGAGGCCAGTGCAGTGAAAGACTGCATCTGTGGGGCTAATGCAGATGCTGAGGCTGGAGCATGCGCGGACAGAGACCCTCCTGGTGGGCATGGGTGGCCCTCGCGGAGGTGCCTTCGATCAGTGTTTGAGATCAGGAACTCGGAGGGGCGAGGAGGTCCATCTTCTCAGTGAAAAGGCAGGAGGATCAGGGAGGCTGCAGAGGAGGAATAAGCACTTTGGGTGCCGACCCCCATGAGCGAAGGCTGCCCTACTGAGCCTCAGTCCCCTGGGGCCTAGCGCACTCCTGCCCGGCAGTGGGTGACAGGACGTGCTTTTCTGAGTGAATGAGAGAAAACACTGATTCTCCCGCTGCCCGCGGAGTGGGGAGACATGCGTGGAGTGAGCGAGGTTCCCTGTCTGGGAGTTCCAAACCCACCATTGGTTCCTTTCACCGCTGACTAGAGATATGCAGGGTGCCCCCCAAAATGTATACACACTTTGAATACCTACTAATTCCAATGAAAAGAAAGAAACAACCACGGAGCTGTCATCTGTTAAAAGTGTGGGCACAGACCAGCAGTTGGACATCCCCCGAGGGGTCCCGGATTGGAGATGATGCAGGCCGGGCTGAGGGACGCCATCCCCCCCCCCCCTCCGCCCCCGCACGAATTTCATGCACCGAGCCTCTGGTTAATTTATAAAATCTCTATATATTAAGGGAGTTCATACCATGTAACGTGCAAGCGTTCTTCTCTGGGTGGTTCTTCTCAACTCTGCCCCTCCCCCCCCCCCCCCCCCCCCCCGCCACACACACACACACACACACACACACACACACACACAGCTTGGGGGTCGGGGAAAGCCTTCCTCCCATGGAACACCCCGCTGCCCCACAGAGGGGTGCTCAGGGGGACAGACAGGTGGCAGGGGTGGCTCAGAGCTTCTTACTGTCCACTGTGTCCAGTGCAAGTCAGTCAGCACCCTCCACCCCTCAGCTTCCTCCTCACTGAGTACTTCGCTGTCCCATTGCCTCCTCCAGGATGGGGGCTGCGCAGGGTCGTCTGAGGCTCTGGCACAGGTGCGCAGCTGTGCAGTGGAGTCCGAAGAAATCTCTGCCTAGGAGCTACCCAAAGGGTGGGCAGGACTGACCTCAGCAGTTGATGGCCAGACACCTGTTCAGGGGTGCTGTGGGCAGGGGCTGGTCCCCTGAGTTTCACCTCCAGCCATCATGTGACCCCGCGGGCTGGACCGGAGCAGGGTTTTGGCGGCCTTCTGCTGACCAGCATCTTCTCTCTGCAGGCATCACGTGGGGCAAGGTGGTGTCCCTGTACTTGGTGGCCGCGGGGCTGGCTGTGGACTGTGTGCGGCAGGCCCAGCCCGCCATGGTTCATGCTCTCGTCGATTGCCTCGGGGAGTTTGTGCGCAAGACCCTGGCAACCTGGCTGCGGAGGCGCGGTGGATGGGTGAGTGGGGTCTGAGGGTGCAGGGGGGCCAGGGAGGGGAGTGGTGCTAAGGGTGGGAAGATGGGTGAGGGTTGGACTGCTGAGTCCAGAATTGGCCTGCTGTCCCACCTCAGTGTTGACCTGTCCCTACACCCCCAACTCCAGCTCTAAAGACCCGCAGCCAGGTCCCTGCACTGCAGAAGGCGGCCTGGGGAGGGAATTCAGGCCCAACTCTGTGCTGCCCTCCTCATTAGGCTCCAGCACCTACTGAGCGATGGCATTGGTCTTCCCCAACATGTCTCCACGCCCCTAACTGCTCACCTGGCCCAGCCAGGCCTTGGGGGCTGCTGGGCCCTGGGCATGGGGCGGGGCACCCTCAACCATAGATCTGTTTTCTCTGTAAAATAGGAGGGACACCCTGGCAGGAGTGCCAAGCGCAGCCCTCCATCGAGGTTGCAGCCAAGGGCTGTGGTCTCATCTGAGGGGGGCATTGGGCAGGGAGGTATTGGCTCCAGGTGACTCCGCGGCTGTGGCACCCCCAGTGCAGGGACTGAGGCCTCTGTCCTCTCCTCCCGCCTCCCGCTGGGGCTGGCCATGGTGGCTTCCTGGCGTGGGGCTCCCCTGCCTCCTCTCCCACCTGAACTCTTCCCTTTACTTCTCACCGTCTGAATCCTCATGGAGAGGTTTGGTCCCTGCTGGAGCTTTCAGTCCCAGCCAGGCCACAGACCTTCCCTCCTCGGCTCAGGGCTCCGTTGACTCGGCTGACACGGTGGAAGGCGCTGGGGGCCTCTGCTCCCCAGCTCTGTTCTCAGCTGTCCCTTTCTCCCTGCAGACCGACGTCCTCAAGTGTGTGGTCAGCAGCAACCCTGGCTTCCACTCCCATTGGCTTGTGACCGCGCTCTGCAGCTTCGGCCGCTTCCTGAAGGCCACCTTCTTTGTGCTGTTGCCAGAAAGATGAACCTGGACCCGGGAGGCTCTGGGCCAGGCGCTGCCCTCCTCCCGCACAGCCCCTCCTCCCGCTGAGCTCCTCCTCTGTACACCAGACCCTGGGGACGTGGGGACGCAGGCTCCCCTGGGCCTGGAGCTGGCCGCCAGTGCCCACCCGTGGCCCTGCTCCCTGTGCCTCTTCTGGAGCCAGAGGTCAGGGTGACCTCCCGGGCCCAAAAGGAAGGCAGCTGGGAACACCAAACTCTCACTTGACTCCAGGGCCCCGTCCACGAAGGGTGGCCATGTCAGGACGTTTGACCCGAAGGTGACTCGGGCCCGGCCACGGCCAGAGGAGCCGTGGGATCTTACCGACCCCACAGAGCATAAGGCTCCTGTGCTGAGGCTTAATCCGCTCCTGGAGGGAGAGGGTTCCCGCCTGTGGCAGGAACCAGGCTTGGGCCCCCGGCCGACACACCTGTGAATGCACCAACTCCTGACCTACGAGGACGGGGTGTGTGTTCGATTTCAATAAAGCGTCACAGCAGGGAAGGCGACCGCCTGCGTCTGTGTGCCTATCTGCCTGCGGCTGCCTGGGACCGGACAGGAGGCGGTGAATCCGTGTGACAGGCCGTCTTCCCGAATTGGCTGCCGTCTGCTCCTGCGGCCCACCAGCAGGAGCTCACACGCCAGCACCCACACACAGGTGAACAAGAGCAGGGTGCCCAGTCGTCCTGCTCCGCCCAAACCCCGCCCGTCCCTGCCGTTCCCATCCCTCTGCCTGGCGGACAGCCCTTTCCTCACTGCAGCCTGCCCCGTGCCCCATGGCCCTGAGCCTGACCCCTGCAGCCCATCTGACTCCCGCTCGAGCCACAGGTACAATGCCTGCGATGTGGCTTCTCAGCCTCAGTTTCCCTTTCTGTACAAGGTAGGTTAAGCCAGACAACTGCTAAGGTCTAGCCCTGCTTTCCGTGCAGCCTCAGGAAGAAGGGTCCCGATGGCGCAGCTTTCCTCACTGCCCCCATTGCCCCTCCCAGCCCCCCAGCCCCCTGCACTGTCCCCTGGGCCTCTGCTCGGCACCCCTTCCCCAGTGGCCTTGCAGTGCAGGTGGAGAGAAGGAAGGGAGCAGGCCGGAGAAAGGGATGGGGTGTGGAGAAGACAGCCTCAGTCCAGTGCTGCACAAGGCCATCTTGCTTGCCCTGCTTTCTGTCATTCACTTAGACCAAATGTGCTGGCATTTCCAGCATAACGTTTCAGACGCTGAGAGCACTCAGCAGTCACGGGTGAAGTGACACATCAGTGGTCTATGCACATACAGGCAGAAGGGACACTGGGAGAGGTGCCCCATTTCCAGCAGCAGCAAAGGATCACGTTCTAGGTGTGAGCCAGACGTGTGAAGCCTCTGAGGACAATCAGGACCCTAAAGACATCCAAGTAGACAGACAGGAACACCAGCTCCCAGAGAGAAAAGCAGCTCCCGGAAAGGGGGCAGTTCTCCATGTTTATGAAGTTAATGTAATCCTTACCAAAAAAAAAATACCAGAATGTTTTTATCCTACATTTAAACAAGCTAGTTATAAAGTTCAAATGAAAGAAACCAAAAAGCAAAAACAGCCAGAAAAGCCCTTAAAAAGAAGAGGAATGAGGACGGACCGGGCCATCTACCAGCCACCAGACCAGGCGCAGACGGCAGAGACGCAGGCCCAGCCCGAGGACAAGCCCTGGAGCAGTGCAGCTCAGGCAGCGGGGAGGATGGGCTTGTCACTGATTGTCGACTCACAATGAGCCACTTGGGAAAAAAACTAAACCAGACCTGTACATCCCACTGCATCAAACTCCAAATGGACCAAAAAGCTAAATATAAAAAATGAAACAGTACTAGAAATAAGTGAATTTCTTTAGAACTGAGGAGTGGGCAAAACACTCCCAAATAAGATTTAAAATCCAGGAACAATAAAAGACAAAATATATACTGGAAGGAAGTGTTTATAACATTTAACATTTTCAAAAATATAACTTGAGAAACCAATAGTGGATGTCAGGGACAATGACAGTGCCTGTCGAATGGGCGGGTACGGGCTTTTACTGAGGGGTGATAAATTGTTTTGGAAGTAGACAGATAATTGTTGCACAACTTGCAAATAATACTAAATGACAATGAACCGTATAGTTTTTGGATACTTTAAAATGGAAAATGATGAACTTTATAACTGCATTTTCTCAATAAAAATTGTAATTTAAATTAGGAATGTTAGAATTAATATTTCTAATTCAAAAGAGCTCGGCAGCTCCAAAAATAAAAGAAAAGATAAAAAAGGAATGCAAACCAAAACTACCCCAAGATCCATGTCTCATGGATCAGACTGGCCCAAATCCAGAACTGACCACTGGGTGAGGACTGGGCAAGCAACCCCACACCCCCTGCGGGATGCAGAGTGGCGCCATCCCTGTGGGGGAGGGGCAATCCCAGTTACACTGGCAGAAATGCAAACCCAGGCTATTCACTGACATTCTGTTGGCACAGATTGGAAACAAGCAAATGCCCAGCGTGGGGGGACCTGCTGGGTAAACTGGCACATGGCTTCCCTGGGGCGCCCTACAGCTGGGCTCTGTGAGGGGCAAAATGTACCTTAGCTTACCATCTTTTTGTTGTTGCTGTTGTTTGTTTTCGGTTAATCTTCATAGGAGGGTATTTTTCCATTGATTTTTAGAGAGAGTGGCAGAGAAGGGGAAAGAGAAATACTGATGTGAGAGACACATCAATTGGTTGCCTCCCACATGTGCCCCAACAGGGGTTGGGGATCAAGCCTGCAATGAAGGTACGTGCCCTTGACCAGAATCGAACCTGGGATCCTTCAGTCCGAGAGCTGATGCTCTATCCACTGAGTCAAACCGGCTAGGACAAACTTACAGTTTTGATTTTGATAAAGTAATATAGGATGTTTTACACAAACATAGCTAACCTAAGAGAACACTCAATTTATAGAAGTTAAAATAAATGATCAAATTGATGACATAAACAACCAGAGAAATGCTTATTCTGATTATATATATTGAAAGAGAGAGAGAGAAACATTGATCAATTGCCTCCTGTATGCACTCCAACCGGGACCAAGCCCTGTATGTGCCCTGACTAGGAATTGAACCAGTGACCTTTCCATGCATGGGTTGAGCCTCACTGGCCAGGGCTTCAATTATATTTTAACTATATCTTTAATGAGGAAGGCATAAAAATGTAATAAAACTATCAAACTTTAATCAGTAATCTTACTGTTAATAAGAATATTATACCAAAATAATTGTGTCCTGTAGAATAAAGCAAATTATTTCAATGTTTTGAAGAACCACGATTTTCTTTTCTTTTTCTTTTCTTTCTTTTTTTTTTTTTTGAAGAACCACGATTTTCGTCTTAAAAGATGTAAAATGAATATTTTAAGGGGAAAAAATTTAAATTTTGAATTGGAAACAGTGTGGACACATACTTTTTTTCCTTAAAAAATGTGTGTGCCACATGCCTAAGCATTTCAGGGTGATGGTTCATGTAGCGCCTTCATCTTTGCATAGTTCAGTGAAAATAAATCAATTATAAAATGACTAGAGGTCCAGTGCTCGAAATTTGTGCACTTTGGTGGGGGGTCTCTCCGCTCGGCCTGTGCCCTCTCGCAGTCAGGGGGCTCTTGGGGGATGTCTGGCTGATGGCAGTTAGACATCTTTAGTGCTGCTGCAGAGCTGGAGAGGCTCCTGCCACTGCTGCTGTGCTCACCAGCCATCAGCCTGGCTTCTGGCCCTGTGGGAGTGCACTGATCACCAGGAGCAGATCCTTCATTGGGCATCTGCCCCCTGGTGGTCAGTGCACGCCATATCAACTGGTCATTCCATCGTCTGGCCAAAACTGGCTCTTTGACATCCTCCAAGGGGTTCGGGATTGTGAGAGGCTTGTGTGAGGCAACCAATTGATATGTCTCTCTCACATAGATATTTCTCTATCTCTCCCCACCTCCTCCCTTCGGTCCACTCTCTCTGGAAAATCAATGGAAAAAATATCATCAGGTGAGAATTTAAAAAAAAGTAGTAACAAAAATAAGGTACAAAACTGCCATTCTCTGGAGCATTATCTCAATTAATTGAGATTTTGCTTCCTGGCAATTAATAGAGGTCTTTGCTAGGAAAAGTCTACATTGCATGAATGGACTGTTTTGGGTGATTCTGGTGATGCAGAGAGAAAAGTGGAGAGTGGAGAGAAAGCTTCCATCTTCTTAGAGAAATCTGAGCCACCATGAGCAGAATGTTGCAGAAATACGGATAGTAAAGGCCATTCTGATGTCATCTCATACGGAAATGAGGGTCAAGTTCTTAGAAGCTGGAGGAAGGGTGATGGTTGCTATAAAATGTCAGAGCCCTCAGCTGAACTGCATCTGTGACTGAGATCTGTGGATGGTAGAACATGTGAGTCATGAGACTGGCTATTTGGCAGGAAATTTCTAAGCTAAGTCAAAGTTTTGAAGGAGTCGCCTAATATCTCCTGAATACTATAGTAAAATGCAGGAAGAGAGAAACAACTTGCAAACACAATTATTCATCAAAAAGGAAGCAGACTGCCTGGCCAGCGTGGCTCAGTGGTTGAGTGTTGACCTATGAAACAGGTCATGGTTCCATCCCTAGTGTGGGGCATGCAGGAGTCAGCCGATCAATGATTCTATCTCATCATTGTTTCTCTCTCTCTCTCCCTCTCCCTTCCTCTCTGGAACCAATAAGACACACACACACACACACACACACACACACACACACGGAAAACGACCTTAAAAATCTGGAAAATTCTCAGCCTATCCACATTGAAAGTAATGAGTAAGCTTGCCCTGAGGAAGCATGACAAGTGTGCCCAGATTTGATAAGGAGATTAGTATTAATTGATCATCTCAAAGAAGTTAGGGAGATTTTTTACAACCCTGGGGAAATTAGCCAGCCCCCTTCACAGAAGCTAGGGCCTATGGTCCAAGACCAAGAAGAATGACTGAAGAAGGCATTTCAGAGAGCATGGGATGCCCTCCCCTTACAGGCCCAGAGCAAAATGGCCTGCTATTCACTTTTTTTCTCAATCAGCAATAGTAATCATGCCTCAGATAGATCTCATTGGCTATGGCAGCCACTGCACAATGCTCCCCCACATACTTGAGCCACCCCTTTAGGAGGCACAGGCTGTACACATTGGTGGCATGCGTATGAGCCATGAGGGCTGTTACCTTCCCCTAGAGTTTGGAAGTTGCAGTGGTGCAGGGGCTCATGACCCAGGCAGAGCGCCAGGCCGTACATGGGTGAGCCCCCTGCAGAGAACTCCCCTCTAGGATGACCCAGGTGGACGGAGCCACTGGTAATGTTACTGCAGCCCAGGAGGAACCTCTACCCCAGGCGGTCCAGAGGCAGACATGAGGACAGGATTATTCTGAGGCTTAAGGTTTTGGTTTGCTCAGGACCTGTCACTTCCTGCCCACTCCTTTGGAATGGAAATGTCCACCCCTGCCTGTCTCAACACCTTATTTTGGAGGCACATTCCTTG